TAGTGCTCTGCCACCCTCCATGGAAAGAAGTCCTTCCGCATGTCGAGGTGGAACTTTTTGTGTTTTAGTTTATGGCCATTAATCTTCATCCTGTCAGTGGAAACCATTCAAGGGTCTGGCACCATCCCCTTGGCACCCACCTTGCCGATATTTATTTGCATTGATGAAATCCCCTCTCAGTCTTCTCTTCTCCAGATTAAACAGGCCCAGCTCCCGCAGCCTCCTCTCATAAGAGAGATGCTCTAGACCCCTCATCATCCTTGTGGCCTCTGCTGGACCCTCTCCAGCAGTTCCTTGTCTTTCTTGAACTGTGGAGACCAGAACTGAACAAAGCACTCCAGATGTGGGTTCTCTAGGGCTGAATAGGGGAGGAGAATCCTCCCCTCGTCCCGCTGGCCCTACTTCTCCCAGTGCACCCCAGCTCTGGCTGCTTTAGTGTCTGCCTCTGCAGTGGTGTAGGGGTGAATAAGTGAGCAGTGGGGTGTGTGCATGGGAAGTCAGTTCCCAAACTGTCAGGCTGCTGGAATGGGATGTGGTCCTGGTGGTGACTGTCCTGAAAGCAGGGCTGGGGAGGGCTCTGTCCTGCTGTTCCTGTTTATTGGGACCTCCTTGCTGTCCATTCCATTTGTTTACTGCATTCTTCTGGAGTATCCATGGCAGAAGTCTCAAGTAGTAATGTGTAATTAAAACTTGATGGAACTTCCTCTACCTTGTGGCTTGTCTCTGCCAGGGAGGGAGATAAAGGAGACAGAACAAATCTGTTCATAAGTCAGGCCTGACCAAGCTGATAGCCTTCTCTGACTTTGACTAGCTTGGATGAGGGTATAGTAGTGGATAATGTTTATCTTGGGAAGGCTTTCAACACTGTCTCCCATAATGGCCCCACTGACAAAGTGATGAAGTATGGACTGGTAGGTGGACAGTGAGATGAGCTAAAACTGCCAGAACTGCTGAGCTCAAAGGGCTCAGTAGAGCAAAGTCCAGCTGGAGGCCAGTCACTAGTGGTTTACATCAGAGTTTGATACTAGTTAGAGTCTTCATCAGTAACCTGGAAGATGCAGCGGATTGCACCTCAGCAGGTTTTCAGAGGACAGAAATTCACAGGGTTGGTTTATGTGGGTTTATGTAGCAGGGCCTTTGTCAGGCTGGAGAATGTGGCCAACAGGAATGTGAACAGGGAAGTTCAACAAAGGGAAATGCAGTGTCCTGCACCTAGAGAGAAATAACTCTGTGACCACTAGCTGCTGGTGCAGCAACTGTCTGGAAAGCAGCTTTACCAGAAAGGACCTTGGGCCAGCAGTGTGCCCTTGTGACAGAGGCCAGAGGCATCTTGTGGGGGGAGTTACCAGCAGATTGAGGGAGGCAATTATTCCCTTCTACTCAGCACCAAGGAGATGACACCTGGAGTACTGTGTCCAGTTCTGGGACACACTGGAGCAAGTCTGAGGAGAGCCTGAGAACATGATTAAGGGAATGCAGGATCTGACCTGTGAGGGAGGCTGAGTGTGCTAGGACTGTTTAGCAGAGAGAAGGCAGAGGGAGATTTTGGCAACATGTATACATACCTGACAGAAGGGAGTAGAGACTCCGGAGCCAGACCCTTCTCAGTGAAAGGCGAGTGGTAATGGGCACAAACTAAAACACAGGAAATTCCACTTAAATATATTTAAAAAGTTCTTTTTTATTGTGAGGATGGTCACATACAAAACAGGCTTCCCAGAGAGCTTGTGGAGTCTCCATCCTTGGAGATGCTCAGAATCTGACAGAACATGTTCCTCAGCAAGTTGCTCCAGCAGACCTTGCTCTGAGCAGAGGGGTTGGATTACGTGATCTCTAGGGGTCCCTTTGACATTCAAAATTCCTCTGTGATGCTGTGAGCAAAAATCAGCCAGGAAAAATAGTATCGAGGGAGGTTGTGTTGAGGGTCTCGTGTTGATTTATTTTCTCCTTTGTTGTTTTTAAAATTATGTTCATGGTAAGCCAGAAATAACAATAAGCACTGTCTGGCATGTCCAGTGCCACAATGACTACTTCCTAGCCCTGGCAATTTGTTAATCTGTTTAGATTCACATACATGTACAAATGTAATCTGCAGCCATGTGCCCATCACCTCTCAATGGGCTGGGGTAAGATAGTAGAGGCTGTGTTGTAGTGTAGAAAGCAATTAGCAGAATGGCCTAAGACATTTAGTGAGCTGATTTCTTTCCAAGGTTTTCAGATTCAGCTCTGAGATAATCAATGGCTTGCTGTTGTTATTGCAGAGCTTCCACTACATTAGTGCATAGCTTTGTTGCTTTTCTATACCTGAGAGTCCCTGAAAGGAAGCATCTACTTGTCTGGCAGGGGAATTGTGTAAAGAGAGAGAAGCTTCTGAATAAGACTCTGTTCTCACAGTTGGAGAGGTAATTTTTTTCTGGCCTAAAGCAAATAACCATCTTTTTGTGAAAAGAGGAAGAGAACAGGACTGGCTTTTAAGGATCTGTGCACCCTTAACCCTATGAAAGTCAAGTCTAGATCTGGAGTATCAGGGTGATATTTTCATTTTTGATGAAATTTGACTTTTAATTTTTCATTCTCTCTTCTTGTACATCTAGGTTACGGTACCGGGGATATTTTGGAGGTGTAACTGCTCTTACAAGAGATCAGTTTTCCAAAGTGAATGGATTTTCTAACAACTACTGGGGTTGGGGTGGAGAAGATGATGACCTTCGAATCAGGTAAACAATGAAGAACTAGTTTTAAGAAATTTTAAAAATTGACCCAACTTCACACTAAGCCTCCAAGAGCAAAACACCCCAGGGGCCTTCACTCAGAACACCACTGAACAGTACTGCAGTGGAGATGTGAAGTCCAAGATGCAGTTCTATGAGCAGTTTCCTCTTTGCAAGGGTTAGGTATGTCTGATGCCCAATCCTCTTCCTCACACCACTTTTGGGGGTGTGGGTTAAGTTATTTGGTTGGGTTGGTTTGGTTTTGTCTCAGACACACAGCAGTTTTATTCTTGCTTGGAAATTGGTTATAATTGAAGTCTGGAGTGTGGTTTGCCAGAGAAGCACAAATGTATGGAGTTCCAGTGCTTTGCTAGAATGTGGGAGTGTTTTGGTGGGACTGGGTGTTTTGCATTTTTGACTACTGGATTTACTCCAAGTAGGGGTTAGTTTGTATTTGTGTAATGTTGATTATAGGGAAGATAGCAAATAACTTGAATTTTAGAAAGGCTACACATATATGTATAAGCCCTTTGCTCTTGTGAAAATTCATTTTGCAGATGTACCTGTCAAAGAAGGAAAAACCTGTTGGCTGGAGAGGTTTAGTGGGACAAAGAAGTCAACCAAACTTTCATGTTGATCTTTTGCCCTTTGCTTAAGAATAAACCACTAATCCTGCATTGCTATTAGTAAATGCAGAAAAAACCACAAGCAAACAGCAGATAAGAACCCACAACTCCACAAGCTCTGCTGGCAGAACCTATCAGTTTGTAACTTGGTTTATACTCTGTCATTTTTAACTTGTTATCCTTTTCTGCTGCTGAAATATGCAAACATACATTTCGGTGACATAAAATTTATATCCCTTGTGATGTTATGTAAATGCACAGGGGATAAAAGTGTGTTAGAAGTTAAGAACTTCCAAATGAAAAGTGTTTCTCAGTGTCAGTTCAGCAGATTGGTCAGGTCTGAAGAAATCTGAAAGGTCTGCTTCAGATACGGATTTCTGTCCCTTAACCACAACTGTTTTTTTCCTTCTTACTCCTGCCTAGACACACCAAGTTCTCTATGACCTCCTGGGAGCTGATTTTTATAGTTTAGGGGGTGGCTTGGTGCTATTTTATCCCCTGGCTTCCCATGGGCAGCAGGACAGCAAGATTTACTTGAGGGTCTTGAGGGATTTGCACAGAGGGTCTCTGTGACATTTGAAAGGGGTTGGAAATTAGTGACGTTTTTGTGTGGCACTTTGTAACTTTGCATCTCTTGAGGTCTTGGTGGGAAACCAAGTCCTGACCCAGTGTGTGCTCTGCAGCTGGACTTGGCTTGTGCCTTGGGCTGGGCTGGTGACCGAATTTGCCGGGGTAGGTAATGGCAAGCTTGCTGTCTGGTGGGGTTTTGCGCGGAGATCCTTGGAGCCCTCCCGAGGGAAATCAGCAGATGGCAGCATCCCTTCGGTGCTTTCAGAATTCGGGGCTGGGGACTCTCACATTCTGCTGATCTGCCTCTAGAACAAAGGTGATAGTCTCGTTTGGGGCCCCTCCTAAGGCGTGTATCACAGAGAAATTCTTCAGATCATTCGTTGTAGTTCTTTGCTAATTTACTGCTACAAAGTCATGGAAATCTCTAAGGGGCTCAGTTTTTTCAAATCTTGGTTTCCTAGTTCTCTTTCAGCTGATGAGTAACCAGAATTCCCTTGTTAAAAAGTTTCTCCCTTTCTGCTGTCAGGGCAAAGCTGTGCTCCACAGATATATGTAGGGTCAAAAGCTCCAACTAGCGAGCAGTGGGGTGTGTATCAGTATTTAAATGTCTGATGTCAGACATTTAAATCTGTGCACAGGGCTCAGTGCTTCTGGCATTGTCCTCAAAGAAATTCTCTTAATATGAACAAATAAAAGTTTTGCAGCTGTCTGGCAGCAACTAAAAAAGAAATCAAGCTTTTAATTTATTTTTGGAGAACCAGCAAGTATAGGGGTTTTATTGCAGAGGTTGAGATTAACTTGTTGCAGAACATGTGGAGACTTGCTACAGGGAGTACACAGTAGTCAATACTGATATAAATGTGCTCTGTTGTATAATGTGTGCTTAAAGCTCTACATCTCTACTGTAAGTAGTTACCTGCTTCTGTTCAAAAGAAAGATGTATCTGTCACCCCCCGCCAGTCTGTTCTCCAGGAATGCAACTCTGAGCTTCATTTCTCTGGCAAAATGGGTTGTGAAAGAGATGCAGATGAGCTTTTACAACTCTGTAGTTGCTTCCACAGCATCTACAAGAAATGAAGCCTCCAATTGTTGGTCATTAACAGCTGGTTTATAGGTGTTGCTTCCTCACAACACTTCTTACTCCTTCTTGCAGGGTTGAGATGCAGAAGATGAAAGTGGTGAGGCCACCTGCTGATGTGGCCAGGTACACGATGATCTTCCACAACCGTGACCACGGTAACGAGGAGAATCGAGAGAGGTGGGTCAAGAACAGGTTTGTTCTGTCATGGTCTGTGGCTGAGCCAGGCACCTGGGGGACAAGTTCTTTGCTCCAGGCCAAACAGGCTTTTTGTGGTACCCAGAGGCTCTGGGGGACATCCACCCCGTGACAACGTTGTTCACAGCTGGTAGCTGTTTTCTCAACATGAGATCTTAGAACTGACTGGGTGGTGTTCCCTAGAAACTTCCAAAATTACACATACATAGGTATCATTTAAGCATGATTTCAGAGACTGAGCCGAAGGATTTTTCTCCCCATATATGATTGTGCTGGAAACAGGAACAGGACTTTATATTTCCAGTAGATAAAAAATAGCAGTAGCTTTGCTTCCAAATTTACTACCATTGGGAAAGAGCTCAAAACTCCTGTGCACGTCAGTGAAGATTTTTCTCCTCTTTGTCCTCAGGATGAAGCTTCTCCGTCAGGTCTCTAGAACATGGAAGACAGACGGGCTGAATTCCTGCTCCTATAAACTGCTCTCCGTGGAACACAACCCACTGTATGTCAACATCACAGTGGACTTCAGCATGCAGCCCAAGGTCTCATAGGGGCCAGCACCTCCCAAGTTACAGGAATGGCAATAGATCTCCTTTGTGGCTGCTGTTAGAGCAGATGACTTCCAGCAGCTGCTTGGAAGAGTCCTTCAGTAGCACAGGAGCAAGTAAAGTGTTCCTTCACAGCATCTCATTGGGCGGTTGAGAGTTTCCTTTTGTGACGACTTAACCAAGTCCTCCTTTTCTGAGGAGTTACAGACTTACCCAAGGGACGGGTCCTCATGTTCTTCTATGCACTTTTTACTGGGACATTAGAAAATGTGTCCTTGTTTGGGCTGGTCCAAGGACTTGAACCAAATCCCTGAAAAAATACTTGGTTTTGCAACTCTTTCTAAAGTTACTTGTGGTCTCATTAAAAGCACAATAAGTCTTCAAGAGCTACAAACTTGATGAGAAGAGTTAATTTTTTCTGGCCTAAGGAAAAACTGCTCATGTGTGAGGGAAGGGCAGTAATGGTAATGGGTAAGGAGATGTTACAAATTTCTCAATAAACGCAGTCCACTGAACTCCAGAGTGTCTCATCCTTTGCACCACAGTGTCCCCTGCTGAGGGACTGCTGCCATGTCCTGTGGCAGTGATCAATCTCATTCTGCAGCAGGCTGCCTGTTACTCCCTGAAGGAAAGGCAGTGGCCAGCTGTGTTGGAGGGGGAGAAATTCCACTCCATATACTTTAATGCTTTGGGCCACACTGTTGGCAGAGTGTGTACTTGTATACATACCCAGGTCATTATCATCTGTGAGTCTTGCTTAAGAAACAGGTGAAAGGCTGTGGATAACCAGCTGTTCCACTGTGCTGCTGCATTTGTGCAGAAGTCTTGAGCAGAGCACTGCATTTACTGCATTGTATTTAACTGTCTTTACATGTTGATGTGAAGCCAGGCTTGGCAGAGTTTATTTTAGGACATTATTCCAGTTGTGGATGAGACTGAAACTAAACATTTGTAATTATAGTGGCATAGATGCAGCTTTTCAATGATGGAGTTTTTGTATATCAGAGTAACAAGCCAAAATACCCTGTGTCACACTCTCAAAAATAACTGCACCTGGCAGACAGTGCTATAGATTGAGTTGGCAGAGAAAGTAAGTTTACAGCAAGGGCAAGGGTTTGGGCTGACTGTGTCAGTCTCACAGTTGGTAATTACAAGTGCCAGGGTCCTGTCAGGGTCACAGCTCCACTGTTGACATGTTTTGACTTCAAGGAAAAACTAGTATTTAATTTCTCAGAAGTATTATATATTGAAGGCAGCTCAGCCTTAAATGATACTTAATGTCTGAGCAACAGCTGTAGTAGTAGATTCATTTCCCTGCTCTGAGCAGGAGGTCAGACTAGGTGACAGTCTTAGGTCCCACTCAGTCTGCATTACTTGCAGCTACAATAAAATAATTTCAACAGTGGCAGTTTGAGTCAGAAAAAAAAATCAGGGATTTAAACTCTGGTTTGTCTGGTTTCAGGGCAACTTTCTCTTTTATTACATTCTTACTCAGTATTCTATAAAACTCTTACGCCAAACACATAACTCCATGTATTTTACTCAAATTCACAAAAGATATTTATAGAACCGTAAATGGCTTTAACACCTTCTCAAAATACAACACGTCAGAGGCCACTCTGACAGAATGGCTTGCATCCCAATTAACACTTAAGTACAAAGCAGGACAGAGCTATCCAGCTACTGAACAAAGGTTCCAGAAAGCTTGGATTGGCTTACTGTCACAGAGGTATGGCTCAGGAGTCCATTTTACAGTGACTTGGACAATTTTTACAGTAAGCCACAGACTGTTTAGTAGCCATCATACCCTGTTCCTAGAGCCTCTTCTAAATCTGGAACAGTTTGAAGAAAAGTGAAAGGCAAAAGGGTTAATCTCAGGTGGGGCAGACACCACAGGAAAAGGAAGGATTGGCTGAATGCTCATGTGGCAGCCAGCCTCTGCTTTTGTTTTCAGCCTCTTAAGAAAATGGAGGAACATATCCAATGTCCACAGTGATCTTGGTATAAAGAGGATGCTTAATCCTGGAAATGAGCCTGAACTGTAATGTATTCATTCCATCAGCTTTCCATGTTTTTCTGGTGTTGTGTTGGGAAGGAGGCCTGAGGGAGGAAGAATACATACAGTTAGAAGAAAGAAGGTAACATTTGCAGCTGAAGCTGCAGAAGAAAGTGTCTTCAGAGAAAAGTGTCTTCAGAAAAGCCCTGAGACAATTCTTCCCATTATACAGTCTGAACGGATTAGAGGGAGTTCACACTGAGTGTTCCAAACAAGGAGGATGATTTGGACTGGACCCTGATCAGAGAGGGAGACCAGCGAGGTGGCAGCTAGAGTCTCCAAAAACCAAGAAGCTGTCAGTAGCTTAGAGAGAGCTGGGAGTGCAACGCAGAAGTTTGCAGCCACGGTGTACATAGGCTGCTGTAGGTAGGTTTTTGACAGGGTTGTTATGGAAACCTGAGTTTTGAGACGATAAAGAGAAATCTGCACTGTCGCTATGAGAAGCCTCTACCATACTTGACCCAACACCCTCCTCCAGCTCTTCTATATAAAACAGTCTTTGATAAAGTCTCTCATAGCACCTTTCTCATGTCTTCAAACTAGAATATTGCTTTCCACTATTTTAATGGCACCTCGTAACTCCACACAGACTGAATAGCAAGGTTTTAATATTGGGAACTTGTAACACAGTGCCTCTTTAAACTGGAATCTCCCTATTTTTAAGGCAAGCAGTATTTTTTTCTTTAAGTTTTACTCCTTGTACAATTTAATGTTTAAATCTGATGTGCTAGCTGGCATGTGTCCTTCACAATAGGAAGAAAAGACAGGAAACTAGGAAAAACCCTTCAAATGTGAAGACAGGAACTGAATGATTCAGTTGAAACTGACTGGGGGCTGCTTTTAAATAGCCTTCCTAAAGCAGCAAAAGCAGCAGTGACATGAGGCATATGTAGCCTGTGCTGGGGAAGATGACAGCAACAGCCAAGCTGCCACAAGGCCCAGAGTAGCCCCCAGCCCCACCAGGTACCTCCTCCAAGGCTCTTGGATCTCTCTCTCTTCGTTGTAGTCCATCACTCGGTAGCGTCCAAGGTGAGGTGATGTCCGGACTATTTTCATTCCTGCCAAGTGAATCCTTTAAAACAACATACAAAACTGTTTGCTTGGGGCATAGAGATGCCACTTCCAGGCTTATGGTCAGAGATGATTTTCAGTGCTAATCCAATAAAAACAAGAGGGCAGAAGCAGCACAGGGCCACATGACCTTCTCTAGCAGGCTCTAGGCCAGGCTTGGGCTAGAAAGCTCCCAGCTGCAGTGCACTTTGACAGGGCACAAGGGGATTAGAGCAAGCAGGGAATGAACTACAACATACAGAGCATTCAAGAGCAGTTCCCCTGAATCTGACTAATGAGCATTATTGCACTTCCTCCTAAGAGCAGAGCTTTTCGCATAGAGGTTCCCCTAAATTTTAAGGAAAAAAAAAAAAAAAAACCCCAAAGATCTCAAACTTGCAGTTTCTGAAAGGAAGCCAGTTCTGAGTTTCAAAACCAGATTAAGCCTCTCTGTTCTCTGAGAAGTGCCATTCGTTCAGATGGCCTGATTAGACTGGTTCATAAAAGATTAGGCATAAATACAGGCACCAGACAAACATATGTAAACTCGACTGCAGTACAGTTAGATAAGAGAAGAGGAACTGAAGGCTCAGAATTCCAGAACAGAGCTTCTAAGCCCAGCATTTTGGGTGACTTTCAAGCAACTCCAGCCCACTGCTGATAGCACCTATGTTACTTTGCCAAATAAAAGTGCCTTCAATAATGCTAGAGCTACCAAACCTCTGTTATCACAGGACAGCCCTTAGGCACAGAAAATTCCTGTGAATGTAAGAATGAATGTTTGCTCAATTGAGGTTATCTAACTGGCATGTTTGCAGCATTTGACTGCGTTCCATCGGGATCTGATACAGCAGGAATGTGATAAAGCTGAAAGGCTACAGAATTGAAAATATCTGTTAGGCTAGAGCCATCAGATGATTGTAACACTTCACTGACAGTGTTATAGTTCCATTATTTCACATGGAGTTTTAGACAGTTTCTTGTTTTCTGAACATAAGCTTATGGCACATTTAATCATAGAGACAAAAAAGCAAGAACACTAAACTAGCTTTGCTGTTGGGTTTTTGCATTGCAAATAAGACTAAAACTGAATTGTTAATACATTAATTTACTGTTAAGAAGAGTCCAAGAGACTTTCCTGTAGTTGAAAATGTTAACACATGAGTGGCTCCAATTAGAATAGTGTTTTCTTCTAATAAAATGTAGATCCTGGTATCTGCTACAACTTGTGTTAGAGAGTACTGCAGTCTGGTGACTATAAGTAGCAGCTGGCAGTTTTTTTCATTAACTCTGCTTTTAATAAGCAGTATCCCAGAAAAAAAAAATCATCTTTGCACAGAATTTTTAAAAACCGGACATTAAAATGTAAAAAAAAAAAAATAAAAAATCATTAATTTTTTTGCTACATGGTAAGGAATGCTTGAGCACCTCCTAAAATCCAGATCCCAGCTGGTCACTGAAGAACAGCCAGTTCATTCCTAACTTCTGCAGGCTGAGACTTCAGAATGTGAATAAATCATTAACAGGCATTGTCCACAGCCTCCATGTATCTGGGCCAAAACACTGCTAATCGTTAGTGTGAGTTTTCTGTGAAAACATAGGCCCTAATTCCCTTCCAGAAAGGGCTATTCTGGGAACTATATAATGCACTTGCCTTCCAGGATTCTCTTCAAGGAAGTGCATTCCTGAGTCTACCCCAGGTACCAAAAACCAAATTAGATGCCTAAACTATACTAAGAACAGCTGAATAGACTCAGCATTGTAGTACTTGATGTAAAGATCTATTTTCCTGGCCTTCTATTCCTTTCACAAATGCTGACTCTCTAAACAACCATACAACCTTTTAGTTTGCTTTCTCTGAAAGGCAAAGGAGGAATTCTGTATTAGAAAATCTGGCTTTCAATTCCCAGATGAATGCTGCTTTGAAAAAAACTCCTGTAACTTGTCACATTATGTAAGACAAAAATAACAAAGCTTCCATGGTCAGTTTAGTTTTATAAACTCCCCATGAGCGTGCCTCAGTGCTGGATCATAAAGGTGCACAGTGCAATTCCAAAGATGAATAAAGAAGCTGCAGCCATGATTCTGTACTTGAAGAATTCACATTAGGCAGAGCACCTGGAACTAAACTATAGAATGCTGCTGCCATGGCAACCAAAGTACAAGAAAAACCATCAACTCTTTCTGTCACTGACTCACACTGGTACACAGGCTCCTCCATCACCCAGCACTGCAGACAAAAGATAGAATTCCTTGTGCTCCTTAATCCCAAGTATCAGTGATTAGGTAACACTTGGAGCAACCAAAATGCACTTAACTTAAATTCCCAACTGTCTGAGAATTAGTTAAGTACCCTCTTATTCAACAACCTTGCAGATTCCTTCCCTCCCTGGGACTGTCAACATCAGTGGAGGCACTTGTCACCTGCAAGTGGTTATAACGCCTTGCACTGAAGGCACAAGGATGTGAAATAACATTCTGCTCCCCAGAAATGAGAAAGCTTTGTTTTCCCGGCATAGTGATTGGATTCACAGGTTCTGAGCATATTCTGACATTAAGCATTCCCAATACCAACAGCATTTGGGATTTTAATGGTACTGCAAGCACATTAAGGAACAATGTCATTGGTTCCTTTCCTAGGGTGCTGCTATGCTTCACTTGCCAGCTTAGATCCATTTCAAGTCTGTCCCATGCACTGGTACCTTGTAGCAATGTCATCATTTTCACCACCATCACCCCAGTATGTGTTGGGAAACCCATTCATTTTCATGTAATGTTCTGGAGTCACAGCAGACACGCCCCCAAAAAAGGACTTGTATGGCAGACTAAAAGAGAAAACAAACAGGCAAACAAACACCGCCCTCCAAAAAAACCCAACCAACAAAAACCAGAGTACGCTATTGAAGGCTAATGCCCGTCCTCCACAACTAATAGTGTGATCCAAGTCACACATATATTAATTGCATACTTGCAGGCACTCTCATGACAATGCCAAACCCCAAAACAGTAAACCCAGTGTAATTCCTATCATGTTCCATTCCCCTCATGCTTCCCACCACCTTCTCCCAAAACTGACCAAAGTAAAATTAGTTTCAAAGTTTGTATCTTGGATCAGTTTGAAGTACCTGTATCCTACCACATTATATTCCACATGATCCAATATTCCCACCTTATATTTTTTTCTTGAAGGAAAGTCAAACAGTCAAACAGAAACCTGCCAGTCATTTACCAAGCAGAGCTAACTGTGGAACAGGGAACTACAGGCAAGGAAACATTCAAGATTGCATGCTTGGGTCAAAAATATCCTTTTCTAGGAAGTAACTACTGCAAAACTAACCCACAGAAAACCTCACAAAGGTTGTGCCTTTCACTGTTCCCACCCGTACTTTCTAACACGAAGTCCACCAACTGGAATACATCCACAGAAAGCAAATGGAGGCACTTACGTGTACTGAAACTTATCCATGGCACTGGCCATGTGCTTGGGATAATATTCATCACAAATGTACAGGTTATAATCATTCTCAGGCACCAGGTCAATATCATGCAGGACAAGGCAGTCCCACTCTTCATCCTTCATGGCTTCCCGGACACCAACATTAAGCAGCTTTGCTCGGTTAAATGAACCGGTCCCTACCTGGAAAAGAAAACTTAAGTTTCTTCACCAAAACAAAGATGTTGGTAGATAACTCAGTTAAAATTTGTTTTAGTCCAAAAGCCTTATTTCAAATGAATGAACCAATACTGGCTGCAAAATCTATGCCCCCAGCTTTGAAAATGTCAGCCATCCCCTTCACAACATTCTCAACAGCTGTCAGCTTTGCTGTATCACGGGCTGTGCACTGTTGGCACCTGAAGAAGGCAGACTTTCAAGAGATTCATAAGCCAATCCTCAGGTGCACATTTGCACAGCAACACTTTTGCCCTATTGTTTACCAAAACTTGCAAATGAGAAAAAGATCTTGGTCCAACAAAAAAGCTTCTTTGCCCTCCCAATACTGGTTGTAACTGATGGATCCAAAACTGGCTCCCTTGCCACTGATCTTCTGCAACACCAGTCCATGTCAGGTACAAAAGGCCGCTTGACCTGCACAGGCTGCCCCACAGCCGGGCCAAGCCACATGTTTGTATTTGATACAGACCAAGAATATACAGCTGCACTTCAGCATTTAGTCTCCAGGTTTTGCTCAGTAGTCACACTGACAAACTACAGACAAACCACATGCAAATCTCAAAAAGAAGAAAATACATGTTACCACTGTCCTGGGTTACAAAACGAAAGTACTACTGTGGGGTGTAACCAAAGTCTGTATTCTACTTTCCTCCACATCATTTTGGGATAAACTCTTAATGAAGGGCTGTTTGCAGCAGCTGCCCAGTGCACAGCCACCCCTCAGGCTCCAGCTGGGTGCTACATAAGGAAAAAGGCAACCCTGCAAGGCAGAATAATGTTTCTTTTTCTTCACACCGGTGACTCAGCTGTGGTACCTTCCTCCCGTGAAGCAGCAGTCCCACCCATCCTGAAGGGTCTCTGCTAAGGGGCCATCACAAACTCAGCACCAGCAGAACACCTGGCAGCAACAGCCACCAAGGACTCCAAAAATACTCTGTCCCTCATAGGGCTGCATCACTCCATTGTGGAACTCCCTGCTCTGGGGGAGGTACCACCTGAACCTGACCCAAATATAATCTCAATCTGGGGATTTGGGACACCACCACTGCTTGAGGGACCCAGAGGAGGACCAGACCTTCTACAGGACCACCGTTTTTTGACACTGCAGCCATCACTTAATCAGACTGTGACCACCAACCTCACCAACAGGGGGACAGGCTATACTCTGACTTTGTCACTTTAAGCCAGTGTTTTTGTATTAATGCATTTATTGTAATTTTTCTATTAAATTGTAATTCTGACCCGAAATTTTCCTCAAGATTTTGTGGGGGTTCATTTCCTTTGCTGGTTTACTTTCAAACCAGCGTAACCACTTAGTGACAAATTTATAGCCCCAGGAAAAAAAAAAACCTCAACAGAACCAATTAATAGCAGAATGATGATCTTGACAAGTGGTACGGTATTTCAGTCATTAGCAATCATGGAGGTGGGACAGCTATCTGACCTCCTCTCAGCCCATGCATAAAACAGTATTTCCTCATCAGAAGGGTCACATTTCTTCTTCAGAACCCATCCCTTAAGTGGTGTAGCTGAGCTTCCCAGCAGGCACATTTGACTTGGGTTTACCTGCTGAATCAGGTAGATAGTGTAACTGAGCTGCTGGCGCTGCAAGAAGGGATGGATGTAGTAGAGAAGATGGCGAAGGTGCTTCTCCTGGTTCCTGTAGGGCACAAGGATGGCGGATTTGTAGCGGGCAAAGCAGTGAGGTGGCTTGTAGTGGCCACCAGACTGAACAAAAGGATTTCTTTTCATGATCATCCTTTCACTGGGGAGCACCCTGAAGGTGATGGTTAATGGACCAACTGTAAGGAGAGACAGAAAAAAGAAGTAGTAAGATCAGTGACTTTCTCCACCTTTTTTCAGACCTATGAGATCAGTTACCCACATTTGCTCCTTCAGACAGCAGCCCCACCATGTGACATTCACATTCTCTGGACAGAGCAACATAATTCTGTCTCTCAGAAGAAGCACAGACAGAAGAAGAGAAACAATCTTTATCTCTGCACCTTTGTTTAACCCATATGGAATTTGGTATGGAGATTGTTTACCTGAAGAGGTTGCTTGATTGGATTTGGTGAAGGTTGTTTGGGTTCAATGACCAATCAGATCCAGCTGTGTCTCAGACTCTCAGCAGAGTCATGAGTTTGTTACTTAGGTGAGAAGTAAGTATGTAGAATCGAATAGTATCTCTTTAAATAGTATATTAATGTAATATAAGATAGTTTCAATAAAACTATCATTCAGCCTTCTGAGCCAGACATCATCATTTCTTCCCCGTCAGGGTTCTGTTTATTTACTGTATCACCAGAGGAGAGTTAACAACACCTGTGTGTCAGAATCTGTGGTATTGATGATTCTGAGATTGTAGAAAGTCTCTGTCTTTCTGCCCCGTTGCCAAAGAAGAAGCCATAATTCGTCTGTGCTGGTTTCAAGGTTGTTTATTCTTGCTTATCTCTAACATGTTCTGCTGCCCTGCCGCAGGTCTGTCCTGCAGGGCAGCGTGTGGGGCTCTGCCCTCAGTGGGATGTTACAAACATTATATACCAGAAACTACCTGTGCTATATTTACAATAATGTGCCAATATCTGTCACCTATGTTGAACAGTGTGTCCCCAGCCTAAACCAATAGAAAAATGCCAACACTACAGTGAAACATGGAGGGCATGAAGAAGGAGAAAAAGGACAAGACACACCCAATTTCCTCCATCTTGTCCCCTCTGAACCCCTAATCTAGAATCCTAAAATTTTACTTTTGCACCCGTGCTACACTTAATTATTACTTATATCAAACACTCAGAGCTTGTAATTCATCCTGTAAGATTGAAAACTCTTTTCCATGGACAGAGATCAGAGACAGTGTCTCTGGGGGCTCTGTACAGGGGGGTTCCTGACCCCCTGCCAGGGTCCCAGGCCTTCCAGGGCAGCCAGAGGGAAGCCCTAGATTCCCACACCCATGCAGAGGTGGCTCTGTGATAAATTTCACTGCTGCCTGCTGGCCACCTGTCCCTCCACTTGCTGTGGAGCAGGGAGAGGTGGCCAGCTGAGCACCAGGAGGACACACTGCCTGCCAGGCATCCTAGTCCTGGCACGGCCACCAAGTCTCGCTGGGCTGCTGCACAGCTGCTTCTCCCTGGGACTGGCTGCCTACTGCAGTCTTGTGTTGCTTAGATGAGATCCTTGAATAAATGGATTCGCTGAAAGAAACAGCGTTGGAAATTATTCAAGATGAACAGACACATCTGCTTTTGCTACCCATTTGGAAAATTTCTCTAAACCTCTTTCAGAAGAGATTCAAGGACAAAGATGTGCAAGTGGATATTCAGCAGGCAGGGGAGAAACAGTTTAAAGCCTGGATGGATAGAAATGCTTTAGAAAATGTCAGCTCTACCTTTAAAAGCATTTCAAGTTCTATTTGATGTTATAATCACTTGCCACAATGGCTGAATTTTCTATATTATTTCTTTTTATACACTGTGATAAGCAGGCAGTACTTCAAAATGTTGAGAGAAGCAGATGACAACAGGGAAAGAAGAAAGATGTTATATTCTCAGGAACAGGCACAGGATAACAAAATAAACAATATTGACTGTTCTTCTACTCAGCACTTTGTTTTTAAATACAAAATATACTGGATATCTTCAAGAGTTTCTGCCTAATTAAAAAAAAAAACCTGCATTTTTACATTAATTCTTCCATTCTTCAGACGGAAAGATACTGACAAGTCATAAGTGAAAAAGAATCCATATAAAGTGTCAATACCCATTTTAACACAAACCTCATTGTTACAATATAAATAAACAAATTCTACAATTATCTAAATGCCTGTCCTCCTGGATAGTGAGAAAAGCTTCCAGAAGCAGCAGAAGTCCTGTATTTACACACAAATCAGTGTGTCTTAATGGTTTTCTACAACTGTGAACTTTTAAGAAAATAAAACACAGATGCAGAACAAGATTACCATGCAATGCTTAAATGAACTAGGGAAAAACTTTCACCCAGATCATAATTAGAAGCTGCCAATTTTAAATGACAGGTCCATTCAAAAATTCTTTGCAGGCTGTGCTACCAAGGGCAAAATGATTTTTTTGCACCAGAAGTCTGCAAGGCAAGTTTGTAGTTGATGTTTTTTTTAATAGCTATAAACAAGATTTTTTCTTTCCAAGGTGATAATTAACACTGTGGCTGTCCTAAATCAGATTTTCAGTATCTTGTGAGACTCCCTCTTAAATCACTTAAAAGTTATTCTCTCAAAAACATTCTGATAATGAAGCATGAGAGCAAATATTTAGGCCTGGTGTTTAGGAGCTTTCATTTGAGCAGGAGAAGGTGCAGAGGCGTTTTAAGACTAAATGAGCAACTGAGTCCAGAATATACTTCTTTCATTTCATCTTATATTCAAATCTTTGCTACAATTCTAACAAAAACAAACAAAAAAATTGAGCCTGCCCACACCCACATCCTGTTTAACTGACACAGAAGGAATCAACATCCCTCCACTGCTTTTGGGGGTTTGGGTCTTTGGGATTTGGTTGGTTTTGGGTAGGTTGCAGATTTTTTAGAGCAGTAACAAGGCTTAAGGACTAAATTTGCAATAAAATTCAAAGTGTCCATTCTGAGCCAGGGAACATTTTACTATCATGAGGAAGTTGGTACAACTCACATTTCTGATGGGCAAACCTGTATTTGATAAGTGCCTCCTTTCCTTCCTCAGGGAACGCACAAATGGCATTTCCTGAAGGTCAGTCTGAAGAGCCACTGATCCCATTTCTCATGCTGTTAGAAACGTCTGGTCTAAATCCCACTGCATGGGTTTTGTTCATTGGTTTCTGTTAGTTTGTTTTTAAAAAGAATGCCTGACTTTTGCTTGTCAGCAAGATTTTGCAATAGCTGACACTTAAATATCACTTTTCAGTTCTTCTCCAACTATGTAAAATACAAGAGAATTTAATTTTCAGTGCATTACCTGCAGCAGGAAAGCAGAGTACATCACCATGTATTTGTACCTGAAACAGAAGAGTGCTTCTTCAGAGAATCCTTGTGTGGGCTATGAACCTGGGTCACATTTACAGTGAACATTTCATGGTGGTATTTCCTACCTCTGTGCATGCAGTTTCCCTTTCCACCTTTAAGACTCCCATGTTTCAGTCCAAAATGTTATCAACCTGTAGTTTATGTTGCTGTTTAAGATTAATGGACTTGCTGATCATCAGATCTTTCAACCTAAAGCACCATTAACCACTGATTTGATGACAGCTGGAGCTTGCTAAAGAAGTATTATATTCAGGGATTTCAACTATAGATCACTGCTCTAAGGAAAAAATAAGAAAGGGAATTAATCCCTTTTATTCTCCCACAAAGGCAGGGTTTTGTTTTCTATGAAACAATTGGGACTCTGTATTACAGAGTAAGATTCTGCAGCAACAATCTTTAAATTCCAGAAAAAATAAGATCTTAATTTGAATGTAAGGGTATGAGTAAGATAATGTGAATAGCTTCACTCCTGTCCTCTCCTTCCATACCCAAGCATACCATTTAGGAGTGTTAACATTTGCATTTTCCAGGTTTTTCAAGATATAGTGTCCTCCCATGCTGCCTGGCTCCACAGCTCAGACAAATCAGCCCAGAAACTCAATCTGGAATATGACAAGAGAAGGAAAAAAAAAAAAAAAAAAAAAAAAAAAAAAAATCAGTGTGACTTACATCCCCAAAACCTCTGGCTGCCCTACACTCCTTGGCTACAAGCTACATTCTGGCTTTCATGTCTCCCTGCTGTCCAACTAACAAAAGGCTAATGCAATCTAATCCAATTAAATCCCAAATGTGAACAGAGCACTTGCAGGCTGGACCAAAGAGAGATAAATAAAACTGCCAAAGCACAGCCTTGGAAAAGGAGGAAAAAAGCCATCTTACACATACTAGGAAGCACAGGATCCCTGTTGAGGCAGGGTACAGAATTAACACCCTGAAGTGTCCAAACAAATTTTCCATGGCCTGGTTCCAAAGATGTTTCTGTGCCTGTACCATCACACAGAGGGCATTTAATGAATATGAAACTTCAGTGTACAGAGTTAGGTCTCAATCCCATGTGTTGTCAGCTGGTGCCACTGACAGCACTCTCTGCTTGCTTCACTTCCTAGGCAACATATTTGCCTGTCAGGTGACCACTGACTTTGACCATACCTATCCCACCTTATGGAAGTAAATCCAGCACTTCTGAACTCCCTTCTATGCTTTTAGAGTTTGCAGCTGTAATTACCACGCCCAATCAGAATAATCAGAATTTACAAAACCAGCAGGAACATGGAACAACAGGAGCATGGGTGAATGCTACACTCAGATACTGCAGCACCACACACTACATTTAACAGTCATATTCATGTAATTCTACCAGGGCTTGGGAAAAAAAAAAAATCTGACCAACAACTTTCATTTAAGCATCAGTTTCTAATGATAGAATATAAGGTTGCCTCAATGGCACCTGAAAATAAATCTCAGCATTCAGCACCTACATCTTTTTATTTCTCTTTCAATCCAAGAGAAGAAACTCTGGCAGCATTAGAAAATATAGCAGGAGCTACTTAATACAACAGATGGTCCTGCTCATGAAAAGGTTATGACAGATGGGAGTGAAAGGCAGTAACTACAATAAGAAGGGCTTGGAAAAAAAATCCTTCCATAGCATGAGCAAATTATAAACAGCAGAGTTACAGACAGAACTTTCAGCTATTAAAGTCCTTGAGGGCCAAGCCAATTTGTTCAGCCCATGTCATGCATGAAGGAAGGTACCCCTTTAAACCAAACCAGAAATAATAAAATAAAGCCAATTCTTCTAGCACCGAACTTTTTCCTTGTGAGAAGAAAAGATGAACTGAAAAAAGACATCTTGCATGAAATGTGAGGAAGTCAGATTTTGAATTTAAAAGCTATTTAGTTATGTTTAATGAAGTATAACCCTGGTACACAAACACTTCACTTTTTCTTAAAACAGAGGAGGAAGAAACAGGCAACGGGTTATTTGTGTAGAAACCTTAACCTTTGAGGAAGCTTGAGTAGTTTATTCACAATATTAGTGAAGACACTGAATACCTGCAATGCTTTTCAAGTTGCTGGTCACAAAACGTTCAGTGCACACCACTAGGTGTTTGAAAGTACCACTAGTCAGCAGGAGTCTAGTTCCTCTAAGGCAGAGATGATTAGCAGTTATATTTTAATTCTAACTTCACAGCCCTGGAAGAACCAAGTTGCTGCAGATTCAGGAGACAGGAAATAGACAGATGAGCTGCAAGCTGATTAACATTCAAACAGTTATCAAAATGATCTACTACATATATAAATGGAAAAAGTGCTGCACTTCATAAAAGCCCTGATGCAGAAACCATTTAAGCCATTTGGCATCCTTCCAGGTACTTTAACACACTTTAGAGTGGGCACAGTGACTTATTACCAGCTCTGAACAGGAGGCTGAGTCCTCAAGAATTGATTTGAAATCTCATTTAATAGAGTTTATGAAATTAATATTAAAAGGCATTGCTCTCTGCAATATAATGCTTCCAAGAAACATCAGCCTCATGAGAAATGATGGCAACAATTATTCAAGACATTTATAAAGTATTTATATCTCAATTCATATATGCCCATCACATACAAAAGAAGGGACAACTCCCTCAGAAAACAGCATGCTTCTCAGTTAAGAAAAAAGCAAAACACCCAGAAGAGGTTGGCATGCAGTGATAGAAGGAATAATTTACATCCTATATTTACAGGGAAATACCACTGAGTAAAAGTTAAGATGAAGAAGAGACCTCATTTTTCTTCAGCTGAATTTGTATCAGGGCTCCAAATTACCTGTGTTTCACTTCAACAATGGCTCATATGCTCAGCTCAGTATTTTCATACAGTAAAGCTTACACAGTTACTTTGCCTCATGGTTGGCTTTTTTTTCTCCCAGCCAGCTTACTGTTTGTTTCTGTCTGTGACTAACATCATGTTTCCGTTTTAGCTCTGAAGAACCGCCTGCAGGACGATCCCCTACTCTCAGTGATGAGCAGAAGAAGAGTTCTTAAAAAGATTTCCAGCTCTAAGAGCACAGATTAGTGTAATTTTACTCTGCATTTGCCTCCTCTATACACGTCACTACTTTTACTTATCTGATGGTTTGCAAGCAAGCTGCAGAATTGTTTGGTTCTTGCTTTTTGACACTAAAGCTGTCTCCTTTGACTCTTTAGGAGAGAGGACTTTCATCAGTAGTGGAGACAAATTAGGTGCAGTCACGTTTCTCTGTGCTTTTCAAATAAAACAATTCAGCCTGAAGGAAGGAGTTGTAGCTTCCCAGAACTGAATGGGCTGCAGTGCACTGAGGCCACGACACCCAAAAAGGCTCTGTGCTATCAGGATTTCAGGATTTAGTAGAGCCATTTCTGAGGAAATGCTGAAACACACACTCAAAGCTACCTTATAATTTCATAATACATCCTGCATTTAATTTAATTGCAAGCAACAGGGGAAGGAAAAAAACATCTCAAAAGAACAAGCATCATTACAAAGACTGCAGTCTGAGCAGGCTCATCCAAAGGGTCCCAGCAGAGTTCTCCAACCTAAATAATCAACTTGACACAAGAGCATTGGCTTCCCACAGAACTTCCACGTGAATCAAGCTCAACCATTTGCTCCTAATGGGCTCCATGTGTAGTGATCAGCTTTCCCAGAACAGCAGTCCAGGGCTAGGTGTATACAACATCTAGACATGCAGAAACCTGTGCAATATGGAAAAAGCTGACCAGAGTAACTTACTACACGGTACTCTAAGAAGGGGATGGCCCCAAACCAGCTGTAAGTGCATGCTGATGGAACTTAATCCATTCATGGCTGGCTGTGTCAAAGGTATTCACTATTGCCTGAGCAGCACCATCACTTTACTAGCAACACACCTGCTTTATAGGTTTGACTTTATAGTGACTTAAAATTTATCAAGTGTTTTAGTATTGCAACAGCTGGATGAACACTGCTCCTAAGATCAGCTCTAGTTTGGTTCTGCTGTGAATACAAAATAACATGTGACCTGACTTTTAAGTCTAACAGAGAAGTTTCTAAGCCTAAAGGATGTGTAGCAATCATAGACTAGAAGATCACCATGAAGAGCAAGGTGCCATCCTCCTTAAGCTGATTTCAAGTCAATTAATCAATTTATATCGAACTACAGGCTTGATATAAGGCTAAGACAAAGAACCCAGGAGTTAAAGTCAGAGGTCAATATTATCAGTTTCTGAATCGTTGGGTCATTTTACAGAGGACTGCCAAGCAAAAAAAAAAAAAAAAAAAAGGCATCAACTTGATATATTCCCATGCTGTTTGCACTCTTGCTCTACGATCTTGACATCTGTGTAAGAAAACTCTCAACACTGGAAATTTGTAGGCCAGTAAAATACTTTTCCTCACACTAGCAATAAAAACAACGCGGGTTGTTAACAGCAGGAAATGTTGTCAGTGTAAGTACACCGGCACACCTGTTTGGAAGTACATGAGCACACCTGTTTGGAAGTTTGAAGAAGACACAAGGCACGTCTGTGCCGGGTCAGGGCTGCTGTGGAAGAGGCTCTCTGCCAGCCCTGCCGGCGCTCGGTACGTACCCAGGAGCGGGGACTGCGCCGAGCAGTAGGGCGCGGCGTCCTGGCGGGGGGCGCGGGTGAACAGGCTGAGGTTCGTGTACACGTCGTGCGGCTTCGAGTAATCCCCCGCCCCAGGCGGCTCCAAAATCCCGCGGAACACCCGCGACGGTCCGCCTCCGTAGAGGATCAGGATAAATATCGCTTGGAAGACAAACACGAACAGCAGGAAACAGTGGCTTTCCATACGAGAGAGGAACATAGTTTTTAGCCCATGCTCCGGGATCAGGGCGGTGAGGACTGAGCTGCCTTCCAGGGCTGCCGTTCCACGCTCAGGGCTACATCGCTGGGCAGACCGCCTCCTTCTCCTCCAACTTTCTGAGGCGGCAGCGTGCTCCCCTAGCTGGGTTCATCAGGACGCCGAGAGCCAAACCTCCCGTTCCCGGTGCGGGCTGCAGGAAGGAAGGAGCTGGCCAAAGCCACCCCGCTCGGAGCCCCGGGCCAGCGGCACGGGCTCGCTGTGGCACAGGCGCAGCGCCCGCCCTCCCCCGCCCGCCTTCCGGCGAGACTACAGCTCCCAGAATGCAGGGCGGGCCCCGACCGAGCCGTGCTGCCGCGCAGCATGCTGGGAGATGTAGTCCTCACCCCCTCCAGCGGCCGCCGCTGTGGGCGAGGAGGGAGAAGGATGGGGTGGCTGCTGAGCTGCACCCCGTGTCGTCTCCTCGGTGAGCACCCGACTGCTGTCTCCACTTTAAATTGGTTATTAAACCGGTCAGGGAAGAGATGAATGGAAATTTAGACATTGCAATGGACTGCCCAGGGAGGTGGTGCAGCCTCCGTCTCTGGAGGCGTGTAAGGAAAGACTGTGCGTGGCACTCAGTGCCACGGGCTATTTGCCATGGTGGTGTTCGGTCATAGGATGGACTCGATAATCTCAGAGGTCTTTTCCAAAGTGATGCTTTAGGCGATTCTATGGAATGGATACACTTCAGCCAGTGCCTAAAGGGACCACAGCAGCCTGGCTGCTGTGAGAGGCCTCCTGACACAGCCATGCTGCCCTGAAAAATTTCAGCTTTTATGCCCCTCTCTTCTCTGCCTGAATTTGTAGAGATGGGGCTTAGATTGTCCTGCCAGTCATTTGTCTGCTCTCATGTGCCTGCCTTTGCTTAAATGCAGGAGAGGAAGACATTTTACAGATATTAAATTCCTACATGGCTACAAAGAAGAGTTGGCATTGGCCACATTTGCACTGGGGAGAGGGTTAAAAGGAAATCTGTGAGGAGGAGCAGGCTCCTTGAGCTTAGCATTGCACTCCAAGGCTCAGCAGCCAGCCCAGAGCAGGCACAGCACTGAGCACTGGACAGGCTGCCCAGAGGCTGCCAGTCTCTTTCCCTGGAGACATTCAGCAGCTGTCCAGATACAGAATGTGCTCTAGGGGACCCTGCTTGAGCAGGAGGGTTGTGCCAGAACTCATCCCCATATAGGCCACCAATTGTTGGCATCAGTGCTTGGCAACAAGCAACAGTGGATGGGAACTGACTGTCATTGCCAGTTTGTTATCTTACTGTAAGACTTCCATACCTTCTCTCTGTGAGTTCTCATGGGCAGCTCCTCACAACACTGACCCCTTTTCTTCTGCACAGTTGGCTGACTTCCTCCTGTCCCTATTACAACCACCCGACCCTTTCTGTCCCTAGCACGACAACCTGACCCTTGCTCCTCACAGCAGCACAGCCAACACACTCCAACTCTGCCAACCAGCTAACCCACTCTTTTATAACACCCATCCTTACTGGCCCATCCTTATTGGACACAGCTGTGCCCTATTAAGGGCAGGGCTGTTCCTACCCTTTGGTAATTAGTACAGTTGCAACTCCTCAGGGGCGAGATTGCCTTCAGCACTGCCTGTATTCTCTCACAATCCATCCTCCCACAGGGTTGGACCAGATGATCACCAGTGGTCCCTTCAGTCCTACCTGTTCTGTGATTCACGAAGCATGTGCTGCAATTCATGAAGCATTGCCTTCCAAGTGGGATGGCATTGCAAGAAGATGGGGGAGGGAGTGATATCACTTTTATGAGGAGTTGGGAGTACTCTTGCTTCAGAGTTGGACTGAGATGTATAGGACACATCTATGGGAAACTTGATGTCAGTCATTCTCCTGTGCAGAACAACCCATTATTCAATTAAAGCGGATTGCTTAAGGCCTAGATGCAAATTGTCATAATTTCACATTTAATTTTAACTTAATTGGGTTTTTAAATAAAAAACGTAGAGAACATTTATTTTCCCCAGGCAAACTCTTGCTGTACTGAAATCCATGCAATGCTGCTGCCACGAAGGTTGCTTTTTTTGTACACCACAATGAGCCTCTACTGTTTACATTCTCCTTGTGCCATTCCCTCTACAATCACAGCAAACCCACCCTGCTTGCCTTCCCCTCTGTAAAACAAAGCAACACTCGCTGTTCTGCTGATAGCTCCAGCAAGTACAATGCCAAGGACAGGAAAGAATTAATCTCTGCATCAGCTGTGAAACAAAGAAAGGAATCAAGATTTTCATGGTATGACCTGGGACTGTAGATGGCAATTGTTTCAGGGCCAGTAGTGCTTTATGTTTCTCTTGCAATCCCTCCTTGGGTCACAGTAGGAAATCTCAATGTAGGAAGAATTTGGACTAACTATGTCTGCCTCCCTGTCTTGGAGAGGGAGCAGCTGGACCATTACAGCTGCCCCACATCAGTGACTGCTAACTTCCTTGCAGTCAGGGCTTAGTTATAAAAATTGCCACCCTGTGCCAGTTCTTGGGCAGAAGAAGCAGATCAGATGGAAACAGCCTAGCCTAATCTGTATTTTCACCTGTGTGTGTATTTGTTCTCCAGACTGGAAAACTAAATACAGCTAGGCAGATCAGCTGTCTGCAGAGGAGCCAGCCAGCATGTGTTTCTGTGCAGGCTCGCAGAGCTCAATCTCCAGAGAGATTGTGTCTCCCTCAGGAACCTTCCAAACCAGCTACAGCTCCTCTCCTTCCCCTTCAAACTATCAGCACTGAAATGAGTGGATCATGAACCAAATCACGAGCCTTTTCCTCACCAGAAAGCCAGGAAGAGCAAAGTACAGATCAGAACTTCATGGTGCCAGCAGGTCTGAGCCTTTTCAAGGTCACAGTGCTCCTGTTTTAAACAGAGCTGTGGAAACTAGGGTGTGTTTTGAATTAAAAATGAATTGGATTGCTTAAATGCAAAAAAAAAAAAATAATGTAACTGTCTCCACTGAAGTGTGGAAGGGAGGTGGGGGCGGGGGGGGGGGAATTTTAGCAACCTTTGCACAGAGATTTATTGAGGGCAGTAATGGAGGAAAACAATGTAAGACTGGATCTGTAAGAACCAGGCACTGGGCTGGCTTCACAGTCAAAGGTCTGCCTTTCTCATTTTCACACAGCTCCCTGGGAAATTAAATGGAATGCATACAAAAAAAAACCCCCAAAAAACCCAAACCAAAAAAACCTACAAAAAAAACCCCAAACAAAAAACACCCAAACCAAACCAAATACCATCTTCAACAGAGCTTGAAATTAAGTTTGTGGATTGTCCCAAGGGAGGGGGCTTTCCCTCCCTCCAAGTGCGGTTTCACCTCCAATCAGGACTGAAGGTGATGAGAGACTGAGTGCCTCACTCTGTTTAATAAGATTCATCCTTGCTTGCTCATTTTCTCTCCCTTTCTCCTCCCTGCCCTGTCTCCTGGGGGCTGCAGTAGATCCTTACTGAAAGTGCAGCAAAGTGGCTTTGGGAAGCTTTGCCTTGAAAATGCAGGGCCCAAGGAGGGGAGGAACAGCTGGTGTGACAGTGGTTTATAGCAGGCTGGGTGCTCATACAGTGCTGCTCAATGTGCATTATCCAGTGCTCTCTCAGCCCCCAGGGTTTCCATTAAGGCAAGAGGAAGGTACCATTAGTCCTTCTACAGGTGGATGCTTTCAGCTAAGCAGAGCTGTCTCTCATTTTTGGGGAGTGAGGTGCTTTTAAACCATGACACCATGTTTTCTAGTGAGGTGCATGTTTCAAGTACTTTGGCCACACCAGCTCTTTCTCAGCCTTTTGAAGGATCTTGGCTTGTAAACTTCACATTGTTCTTCTAGCAACACCTTTGTGAATGTGATGTTTTATTACACAGGTATGAATTTGGCTTGTTCTCTAGTATGCTACATTTTCAGCAAGGCTTCCTCAGAAGAGTTTTACAAGTACTTCCATGTTTCTGAGAGGTGAATGCCCTGCTGTTAAAAAACCTGGATAGCTGATGTCATGTACCTTGGACCAAGGATAGAATAAATTAGTGAGAGCTTTAGAAACCGTTTCTGGATATCCAAACTTCTCCCAGGCTTGTGGAAGAGCCAACAGTGGGCTCTTATCACACAGACATTTCACTAATATAGCTTGTGGCACCCTTCCCTGTGGGATGGAGAACTGATTGCCTGCCCTATGCTTTGACCACTACTCACTCCTAAGTCCTGGTCATTGCCTTTACAGAGCAATCTCAGTAGGGATGGGCACCATGCCCAAAATGACTGCTCAAGATGCCATGAGACTGTGGAGTTTAGACTATATTCTCCTGTCTCCTGTTTCCTTTATCTCCATACTGCAGGCAGCAGTCTCAGGGACCTGAAATGTTTTTGCTTGACTTTCACTTGTAACATGTAGGTCAGAGGAAGATTGAAATGAGTAGCCTTGAAATGAGAACACTTAAAATAGATACTCTTCCCATTATAGATCCACTGTGTTTTCCTGGAAAAGGGGTAAGGACTTAGGCTACAGACAAGACAATGCAATATCATACTATTCACATCATATTTAATAATGCTCTAGTACCATTCAATATAAATAAATAACCATTAAAAAGTACTTTCTTGACATTCTCTTTTGTTCATCAATAGCATTTTCTGCAACAGGAAAGGTTAGTAATATTCAGTGGTTGATGAGTTGGATGAATATCAGGTACTAATATGCTAGTAAAAACCAGGCGCTGGGATGCCTTCTCTTGTTTAAACACTTCAGGCTTGGTCTGTGGCTTTCCCTCCTTACTGCACTCACTTCCCCTGAAGCCTGTAACCCTGATAGCTGCTTCTGTCCTGGGCTCCCCTGCTCTGTGGGCAAACAGCCATCTTAACTTGTGGTGCCTGTTACTCACTCACCCTTATCTGATATGCCTTGGCCAGCAGCAGTCCTTCCTGTCCTCAGGCTGCTCTACAGGGAAAAGAGTATTTGTGCTGAACAGGTCCATCTGTCTGCTAGCCTGGAATGTCAGCTGTCCAGACAGGGTCTCAGTTCTGCACAATGTAGTGACTGACAGAACTTTTTGATTCACAGGTCTGCTCTACAGGGCCAGGCTGGGGCAAGAATGGAGATAGTGCAATAGGGCTGGTCTTGAGAGTCAATTCTGACCAAGATTGAACTGACAGTGTTGTACATAGAGGAAGAGTAATTCTGCTTTGTTGTAAGGATGTAGAGAGAACAACTCTAAAATGTGTGTGTGGTGGGATCTGTTGCAATGGGAATAGATCCTTGCTACAAACA